GAACCTTCTTCTTCGAGATGAAATTAGGACTCTACGAGCTGAGACTGAGCGGAAAACTAGAAAGAAGGCAAGAAGGCGTGCTATTCTAGGTAATGATACCCTTTTATCTGTACAAGAAGGCCAAAATCGCATTCAGCAGCTTGATACGCAGCTTAATGAGAAGCTTGATGAGCCTACACCTATGCCTCAACGGCGAGCTCCACAACGCTGCAGTGGCTGTGGGACTATTGGACATACCATAAGGAATTGTCCTAATAAATAGCTATATATTCAACTACTAGATAGTCTAATTTAATTGTATTGGTGGTTGAAAAGCTTCAAAATTATAGTGGGTGCGGCGAAAATTCGTCGCTCGGTGGTATTCGTCGCTCGGTGGTTGATTACGTTAGTTACTATGTCGTGCTTATATAAGCAGGTCCTGCCGTCGAATGAGATGGCATCATACGAGTCACGAAATACCACAGGAACAGAAGGCCAAGCAAGTAATATATAATAATCATCGCATAAATAAACAGTAACTTTTAGATCGTATGACAACACATCATCCACCAGACGCCAAAGCAGAATACATATCATATGTACGGATGACAAATGCAGACGAATGCACCATGTCCCAAGGATATCCATCCCTCTAGAGAGTAAGTAAAGTAAGAAACGAAAAGAAAGGAAAATGTACAACAAAGATCGCTTCATCCAAACACTTCCCGCGTGTCCAACGCATCCCGTTTCTTCCCCTGCTCCGCCAAGCCCAAAGTAGACTTCTTCATCAGGCGGTCCGTCTGCATATCCTGGCGCTGGGCACGCCGAGCCGCCTTCTGCAGCCGGATCTCGCGACGGACCTGGTTGGGGCTGACATACTCCTTGTTCTCGTAAATGACGGGTCCTCCAAAGCTGCCTTCGAGGATGACGATCGGCGTCAGGACGAAGCGGGGGCCGATCTCGACAAGCGAGATGTCCGGTAGATTATCCCTCTTCACGACCGGCTTGTCATCTGGGGTCTCTGTGGCTTTCTTACTGCCCTTCTCCGACTCGCGGATCTCGTAGACCCGAATCCAGATCTTGCCATCCACGCCGAAAATGCCAATGATACGGTCGATAAACGGCTTCATC